TAGACTGGTAGACACACGTCAGTGAGCTGTTCCCGCTGCCACTAATAGCCGATTGTTCCCAGGTTTAAACAGTTTTTTCAGCCAGTGGGAAAGTGTTATTTCTTTAGCTTCACAGCATCCCTTATGAATTCTCTTAAAGAGAATAAGGAAAATGTAACTTGGTAAGAATAATCATCAAGTCGCTTTACTTAACACAGAGTACATTTAAAAAAAATTCTGAATCTTTACATTGTTGTAACAATTTATACTTTTCTTTCTACATATAATGTTCAACCCTTGTAGCAGGTTTGCAGTGATGTGGAGCTGGACTCTGTGGATCAGAGTCATTGTCTTAAGCTCAGTCATTCACCTGGAGGTCAAAACGGAAAAGATGATTCTTTAACTAAACAGCCAAAGGAGAATGGAAGTCCAATTCGGGGAAAGGTAATGCTCCTCATTAGTGTAGATAAAAAATTATAACTACGAATGGATGCAAAGGCTGTCAGAATTAATTATCTATGTTTTTTTTTCTCTTTTTATTTCATAGACTGCTTTTCCAGAACAAACTTCTCTGAAAAATATATCTGCAGTATATCACATCCAGCTATCAACAGAATAAATGTTCTTGTATTGGAGGAGGGGAACTTTGGCAGCAGAACCAGAGAGAAAGCAGGAGCAGAGAAAGCAGGAAGATGAATGAAGCATTTCAGAGTGGAGACATTTAAGCACAGGAGCTACAGGAAGAAAAAAAACAAGGATTAGTCACGGGTCCTAAAACTTTGGACAACGTTCTATGTGTCTGTTACTCCTGAGTGGTCAATGTGACTCAGAGAAAAGCTGGACTACTTTGGAAATAGGAGAATCGAGGAGAAAGCTAAAGGAAGAACCTGATAGTTTGTTTACAAGCTCGGGACTGCTTTGTGCAGCAAGTTAAGACTACAAATATTTCTGAAGCACAATTTTGGACTCGCCAGCTTCTTCCTGGATTCATGTGGACTTGGACTACAGTTGATGCTGAAACACAACGGAGCAAAGAGTACAACTATTTTCACCAAAGAAATTCAGCCTATCTTAACCAGATCTGTAAATCCTTGTTTTTATTGTTTTAAAAAGAACCTCCTTTGTTCTTTGTATTGTTATGTACACTATAAAAAATAAAAATATTTGATATATTTTTTACATTTACCATACTGTCACATCACACGAAGAAACTCATGAACAACTTATATTTTTAGAGATTTGAAAAACCAAGGTTCAAAATCATTTTTCACATTTATTTCTTTTTTATACAAATAAACCAAAGAGTACACTTATTTAGATAGATTTAGCCTGTAGAAATACATACATTCCTGTTTTAATTTATAGCCAAAATCAGGTTTTTAGAAAACTCCCCTGCCTATCAGCACTACTTGATAAGGATGTGTGAAAAGCCTTAGAAATTAATTTGTCTTTTGTTGCTTTTGTGTCATCCAACAAAAAAAATTTGCAGCATTTATCTCCCTGTGAGTTATGGAGCCCAGCCATGTTTTTTTTTTGGAAAAGGACAAACCATACTGCAGATAAAATAATGACATTTTTTTAAGTATCTTTGCTATGGTCTCAATAACTCTGAGGCTCTATCTCTGATTCCTATCTTATTTTGACTAAAACTACACCAAGCCTGTGTTCATGTGTTTCTTGCTTGCGATTTTAATGTTTATTTGTTTTTAATTTGCTACCACTATGCAATGCAATCCAGTGCCTAAAGCTTACCCAATTGGCCATTTAATTATAATCTTAAAAATACTGAGGAAAAACAACCATCATGTTATCAAACTGGAAAAAGTGGAAAAGAAATTATTCACTGGGTTGAAATTCCTATCACTTAGATTATTTTTGACATCAGTGTATCGGAGGTTTTCAGGACAAAATGGGTTATTTCTCACAGTGTCCTTTATTTTCTCGTGGAAAAATGCTAACCATATGTAACACTTTTTGTTGTTTTTTTTAAATCAAGAGATCCACTCAAGTCAAATTCTTTTCCACTTGATATTGATCTAGGTTTACCACTGTATCAACAGTGGGTGTGGTGGTTTATGTTTTGGATTTAAGTCAGCAAGAAAATGTTGTTATTTACCTGCATTACACTCAAAATATCACTAGTAAGTAAAAATACTGAAGTGCATCACCTGTTATAATAAATACGAATATCAGAGAGTCATTCAAACTTTCAGAATTTCATCAAGGTTCTGCCCTGTTCTCTGCCTTATATTTTCACCTTTATATTATTTCATTATCTTTATTTGCACTATTTAAATCTAACAAAGTAGTTTAATCAAAATTAAGTTTCTTTAAAAAAAAAAGTTACCTATTTTGTAAGTTTAATGTTTCATATATATATGATTTATGCCCCAAATCCTCTGTTGCTTGAAACTGCTTCATGATGAATATAAGTAAACTAAGTAACAAAAACCTGTAAAATTGGTAATGTTAAAATCGGGAAACATCTTGGAAAATAAGGTAGAATTACAAATATAAACTCAAGGGTTGAAATGTGTTTGTCACAGTCATGTATTAAAATGAGCTATCTAACAAGAACAAGGCTGCCATAAGAAATCATTTTTTGCAATGTTATGGTTTTAATTGCTTGCTTTTTAATTAACTAAATCTGTCAAAAAATTTTATGGCATCCGTTGTTATTATACAATTATTACTTACCTGGAAATTGTTTAACAGCTGATTACTTTGTACCGCTTTGGCATACTTTGGATAACTCTTGATGTGCAAGGTGGAGATTGAGATTTGGCTAAGATGATGTCTTGTGTTATTGTCCACTGAGAAGACCTATCTATACTCACCCTTCAATTTCCAGATTAAAGTCCAGAGATTTTACTTCACTAGTTCACATAACTTTCCTTTTTTTTATCCCACTATCTAATTTGTGAACTGATTCAATCTCTCCTTTTACAAAAAATGTAGAGTGCTCCACCCATTCCTCACTCATCTTACTTCCAAGCTTTCCTTTGGTCATTTGGTTAAAACATTATGACTTTAGTTTAATCAGTACTCCAAATGATACATCTATGCATACACTCCCAGGCCGTAATCTGACTTTTCATGATGCTTTCAGGAGTAATGGCCTCCTCTTGGCTGAGTGGCCTTTCAGTCTATGTCGGTACAAGACTTGTTACGCTGCAGATAAACCAAACATCTATACATGGTTTTTGCTTTTGCTCTGGGAATCGATTCATACATTTTTCAAGAATGCAAAACAGAAAAACAAAAGTTAATCTGACAAAGAATCTGTTTTCCTAAGAAAAACATGAACACTGGAACCTGTGTATTTTTAGATGAACAGAGGAACATTGTACTAAATCTGAAACTATATAAAAAAGATAAAGGCTTAAACTTCTCAACACCCCAAAGCTACTTTAAACCAGTTTGGAGAATTGGTATATGATCTTAATTACATTGAAAATCCAGTGTGGAAATGTCCTCTGATAGTCTTAATTTGCTCTATCAGTCATAGCGACGTGTACTCTAGTTAATGAACTTATACATTATAATGTTTTATGATTCTAGGCAGGGTTTCAATATTTTTTAGCATTAAATCAATTTATTTTATTTATCATCAGTCAGTTTCTAGGATCTATTATCTTTAGAAGGTCTGCTTGTTAGTACAGCTATATATACTTTAGCTACTTGAAGTGTCACCGACAGTGAAACATAAGAGAATGAAATGATAATGTCTAACATTGGATTATAAAAAAAAACAAAAACAAATAATTGTACCCTCTGAACTACTATGTTGGGAAAAAATATCAATAATATTGACCCAGCAAATGGACGATTCAGTTATAATGGAGTTAATGTACTTGTGACACACTGAGGTCTTCTGATTCAGACCCACATCATTTCCAAACCATCCCCCAACATTAACATCAGGAATTTTCAAGCAGTGTGCTTGCTCAGTTAGGTATAATATTCTAAAGGTATGTACCAGGACCTCAGATGAATGAACTGTACAGCTGAGTGATTTAAAAGCATTATGCAGGGGATTGAGCTGCTGGATTCCCAGTTAATCTGCAGGCAAAAATGTGGTTCATATCTACTCTAGATTAAAAAGATAAAATCAAAACAACAAGCAGTACAGTAAATTGTTAGATAAAAACATTAAACATTAAAAGAATATTACAGCTTTTCCCCGTATCTCTTTATTTGTGTCAGAGTCATGCATTATTATGATTTTATTAGTATTCTTCTTTTTTTTGAATTGGCCATTGGTGTATTGTGATAAACAAAGTCTTGACTGTTCTGCTCCTGTGTGTCTTCCTTCCTCCTTGGTCTTACTTTACATAAGAATTGGTTAATGATAACTTATCTGGTTTAATAAAGGTTAAATAATTAAAAAAAAACTTTGTGAGTAGAAAAAAAACAGATAAACAATAACAGTGTGTTTGGTAATTACACTAGGTGTATTTCTTTGAAGAAACATTACATCTTAACCTTGAGAAAACATTGTATTTTCATAAGATATGTTTTCTTAGAGCACAATAAAGAATTCATACAAACAAGTATGTTTGTTCTCAAGAGCCTACTTACTCTATCCCAAGCAGTAAAATGTTACAAATGGTATCAAATACAAAAAATGTTAGGTGGCATTTTGACCACTAGAGGGCGCAAAAATACAGTTACACTGACACAGAAACCTTCAAAAATACAGCAAATAAATTTTACTTAAGATATTTACAAACACAGTCTTAAACTTGAATTTTTATAACTATCTGACATTATATTAGACTTACTCTTTTTAATATTTTCTGTCAGTCAGATTTACCAAAATGTATTTCCATTGTTAGTTGTTGCTACAGTAACAGGAGAGAGGGCCCTTTATCCTGTCAGTCTTTATCCAGTGTGGGCGGCTGGCGAGAAGGTTGGATGGATAAATCAAAAGGCAGTTGGATGGTTGGATGGATTAAAGACAAGATGGCTGTCTAGCTGAACAGACTGAATGGAGATGATTACTACTTTAAGACAACAGAGTAGGGAATATTAACCTCACAGGGGTAGATATATGTAAATAATCTTAATTCCCTTTATCATCCAGACAACGGCGTAGCCATACTGTTCCATTCCTAGTCAATTGAAATTGCACTTTATTGAACTCTGCATTTAACCCATCCACTGTGACCCAGAGTGGCAGTCTGTGGGAGTGGGGCTCGAACTTAGAACCTCAGATTCCAAGCTATATGCCCTAACCACAAGGCTGGCACTCTCAATACAGAAACCCAGTAAAATGGGATTGCCTAACTTCAGCCCTTGAGTTAAGGTGCCTCCCTTTTTACCGACACACCTATATGAAATAAAGTGATCCATCATAGCCAGGCCCTCTGCAGAACTAAATGACATGCTGATGAGAGAGTCGATCTATATGATTCTCCCTCTTCGGTTCTTTGAAAGAACATGTTTATTTTGGGAAGTTTTTTTCCATTCTTCCAGCAGCTCTTCTTTGCTTTTTCTTTTCTGGAATCCGCTTCAGTACCTCTTTTTTTCCACATTGTACACAACAGTTATGGTTTTAATCAACGCTCTGGATTACCCATAATTCCAAGTCGTAGTGTTAGAAATAAAACACTTAAATACATTGTTCTTTTAAGATCTTTATTGTGGTTTGAAACATATTATATTAGTGAATGTTTTACCAACCGTCTAATGAACTATACACAGTTATGAACATATTAATTAAAAGTACCACTGTCTGCTTTGCTATTGGTGTCATGTTTAAACGGCTCACCATCATGTTGAAATCTGCCATGTGTTGGGGTATAAATAAGGTCCGGGCAATTCAATTAGTCTTAATTGGGTTTAAGAAGAGTTTTTCGCACCATTACTTCCGCAAAGAGTGTCAGGGTTTGGTTGTGGTT